AACAAAAGGCGATACCAGGAGGATGGCTTCGACTTGGACCTGACCTGTATCCTGCAGCGGGCTCCTGTCCCCCAGCACTGCCCGGGCCCAAGCGCGCTGGAGTGCCGATTCCGCAGCCCTTCCCGCTGGGGCCTCGCGCTGACACGGAGCCGGCCCGGCCAAGCCTGCCCCTCCTCGCCTGCCCGGGCCTCCGCGCCCGGGACTGCGCTGGGCCTTTGTGGTGGGGGCCCGGTGCGGTGCGGGGAGCGTGGGCTCCTGTGGGACTGAGCAGGGGGGTCTGGGCCTGCCGCGCTGCTGGTCCTGTGCGGGAGAAAACGGGCTGAGAAGTCCTTTAAGCCCCGTTAACCTGCCTGACATGACTGTCAGGGATCATGTGCAGCTAATGGCGATTGCAAAAGATTAATGTTAGCGCTCATTTGGAATTGGAGTTTTCTTGCCTGGCCTGCACTGGCACTTACCTTATTTTGGTGTCATGCTTCACTGACACTCCCAGATAATGACTTCGGTGCCCATGGTCAAAGTAATCCTCTTCCTCTCCTTAACTTGTCGGTTGGGTTTAGTTCAGATGGAAGGGGGTTGATTTTTTATTTTTTTTTTTAACTCAGCTGTGTACTGTCTTAATTTGGTATCTTAGCTTCTTGAATCAGAAATGCCTTTAGCAGATGCGTAGCCTTACTTAGTGGTAGTTTGTGTGTGTAAATGGATAGCAAATGGATTCCTTTGATCACATTTCTATTAGTTAAACCTGAGGTTTAACTAAAGATCATAGATGCTTGTGTCCAAATACAAGAAAACAAGCAATTGCATTTATCCTTTTAATTTAAAAACAAACTTCAGTGAAAGCTAACGTTCTCTAGCCATTGAACTTTACTTCATACTGATCATTCCTGTAGGTATGAGGCTCCTGTCTTTTTTGCAAATTGGAATAATTCGGTTCTTGTTAACTGAAGCATTGTTTTGGATATATGAAACTGTGAAGAAGAGTTTTTTGCAATATTGGTATGCCATTGGGACTAACCAGTGAAACCATAAAGCGCTAGAACCATATAGTTCTTTTGGCCTGTTAAAGGGATGCATTATGAAAGCATCAGACAGATGTTAGGCTTTGTGTTGCCAACATCGTGAAAGGATCTGTCATTTTTCCATCCAAAATGGAGGTGGTTGCAGATGCTATAGGTTGAACCCACTTTTCACTTTTATCTGTTCTTTAAAATAAAACATCCTTAATGCAAGGATTAGAATTATAAACATTGAAAATTAGGTTAAGGACCAGAAGTTTGTCTAGTAGTGCTGAATGAGAATATGTTCTGCCTCACAACAAGGACAAGCTGCTTACCGTTTTCTCGGAACATGAGAGAATTAAGTCACAGTTGCAACTACAAATGCGCTTGAGTTCTTGGATATACAGATAGCTAACTGAAAGATTGAGTTTGTAACGTTACGTTGATTTAGGACTCAGTCTAAAATATTGAATACTTAACAGATAAGTGTATTGGCATTGGCAGATGACCCTTAAGGATGTACCTTCCTGATTTTTATTTTATTCTATGAACATACTGACCAAATAATGCTTTACTGTCATTTTAGAGCTGTTTTAAATTCTTTAAAATCTATATTTTGATGACATAACTTGAATAGTAATAGAAGACTGCATCATCATGCTATAGGTTAGTAGAACATCTGCAGTAATAATATCTGCTCAAACAATATAGCATAAACAGCCATGTAATAATATGCCTTATAGCCTAATTCTGTAATTTTGAAAGTTAAGGGTGGGAAGAGAGTAGGGAGGAAAAAAAACTAGGAGCAAGAAAAGAAACCAAATTTTATGCATCTCACTTTTAAAATTTGTCCTTAAGTCTTTTTCAAAGGTGTAATGAGAGTATCTGACAAAACAGAACTTGCATTTATTTATGAATCTACGTATACTTATTTTTTGTTTCTTGGCAAGTAAATTGTGGGCTATTAGTGATTTTGCCTCTTACTTAGCTCAGCATTTGAATGGCATCTTCAGCATTGTTACAGAATTTATGTGCTCACCCAGAAAAAACCATAAATCTGTTTTTGGGGTTTAAATTGTAAAATGATTTCAATTAAACTTTATTTAGTTACTGTACTTGTAATGAATTAAGTACGGTAGACTTGTACTTTTTAAAAACTACTTTGCAAAGTATTTTTAAAGATGCTTTGCTGAGGAGTTGGTTTTCAATATTAAACGTCATTTTCCTTGTATGTATGTTATTGCAGATTCTGAGCAGTTACTTTATGAAGGAAGAATGCCGTATGTGCCAAATAGCAAGATGTAATTGGATGTACTAGAATATTAAACGAAGAAAATTGAGGGGTTTTTCTTTATTCTGTAAAACCTAAAGAAGGAAGCCCTTTACATTTTTTTTAATGGGATAACTGCTCATTATCTAACATCTGGAATGTATTAAATTGTACTCTTTTAGGTAGCCTAACCACTCTTTTCGTGTGTTACTTGTGCACTAAATTCTAAATTAACTTCCATGTCATTCCCATCCTCCCCCATCTTATGTGGGGAAGAACATTTAGAACTTAATTATGGGGTAAGGTGTGCAACTGCATGACCTAAGGACCAAGGCCCTTATCCTCTGCCTATCTTCCAGACTACCATTTAGATACTTTTGATAATCTCAGAATCAGCTCAGCTAAGGTGGTGTCTATGTTGTTTTTTGGGTTTTTTTTAATTAGTGAATACATGCAAAATCCCAAAGGGGTGATATTTCGCTACAGCTGGAGCCCTAGCTCAAACTGAGGCCCCCAAATGAGACTAAAAATAGGGGTTTTCCTTGGTTGTCTTTGCAGGTGGTCCCTGATTAATTTAAAGTAAGTGTATGAAGCTTTTGCCTAGAATGCATCATTTGTTGTTTGCAATTCCACCATAGAAACCATATTTAGTACTATTCAATTTTATGATTTAGTGATGTCAGTCACCTACTGAACATTGTTCTGCATCTCAAGGGGGAGAGCCTTAATTATCAGGGTACTGATTATTTTGGCATGGTGTTATTGCTCAGTCTCTCAAAGAGAAGCTATCCCAGTGAATACATAATACCTTAGTGTGGGAGGTATGGGATCAAGCCTTGCTCTATAGTGGACAGTGTATGGATTTGAACTCAGGGGCCTTGCCCACTAAGTGTTTTAACAGCTGAATTATTCAACATTTTGAGCTGATATATTTGGTCTTCTTTTTGCAGAAAGGGTTTAGGCATTTGCTTTCAGGAGAAGCTTCATGGCTTGGAAGTGTAGGGAGGAACCCTCCTAGATAATCAGCCTCTGCATTGCTCCTGGCTAACTCTCCATATGTGTTTTATATAGATACCCTTGCTCCCTTGATCAAGGCTGATGATTTTACTAGATGGCATGATGCCTGGAAGTTGGCTCCAGCAGACTCTCACAAGACACTGAAACATCCATCAGCTTCTTGTATTTTGATTTTGCTAGTTGGTTGCTGCCTAAAACTTTTAAAAAGTAACATAGACTTACCAAGGTTATGTATTTCTAAAGAGGAAGACTTAGGACGGGTAGGTTATATTTAAGTAAGAGGTGTTTTTGAGGAGATTTGGAATTGTGTGTGGTTTTAGTCACTTTTCAAAACTAGCATCTCTAGCACTTGTATATTTAACATTGATCAAACAAAAAGCTCTTAGCAAGCATTAAAATAGTTTGTCCTGTATTTAATTTATTTCATTACAGTACATAAGTTGAAGTGAAATTCCATGTGCATTAGCTACAGGTATTGTTTTTCTGCATCTTTGAAAGTAGAAGCAGAAATGGATTTCAAGTTGAAGACATCGTTTTGTTAAAGGATTTAAATCATTTAAAAGTATTATGCTTGTCCTTGAGTTGGTTTTTGTGATGTTAATTATTCTTTACTTGGTATTCTGTCATCCAGATCCTGTCCCAACACCTCATTTATAAAAAATAATAATAATAATAACCCCCCCCCCCAAAAAAAAAATTCCTAGCTAGCTGATCTCTCTCTACATGATTTAATTAGTTTTGAGGAATTTCATGATTTCTGATTGTCTTATATTTCTGAATTTATGGACTTGATTGATTTTTAGTACATTTTTTGTTGTAGATGGAAATGGTAAGTGCTGGCAACTTTTTGTAACTTTCATGAAACTTGTATTGAGTAGGAATGTATCTCTTACTACGGACAATTACTGACATCTCTTGTGAAGCTTTCAGGCATGGAAGTAGAAAAATGAAATTGCAGGTGGTGCTCACTAATCTTAGACCAGATATAGTTTTGGTTGGGTAAACTTGTGATAGTTGGATTATGAATAGTGGTTCATAGCAGAATCCCGTTTTTCATAAGAGGTTAGACAAGTGCTCATCTTGAAGCAGAGTTAAATCTCCAGTTTTACAGAGAGACTTGTAACTACGTTGACAGTACGTTTAAGTATAAATATATAAAGTATATATATATAAAAAAAAAAAAAAGTGGTTTGCCACTATTAAATTGCAAAATCTTGCAGTAACTGGCCTTTTGGTTTGTTAGGAAAGGTATTTTAAGTCAAATTAAGGACTGGAAGTTTCACAGCTTTAATAAAACCACTTTTCAATTTGCATTTCAAAAAGCTTTGCTTTTTTAAAAACAATGTCATAAGACATTTTAGTTTTAGCAAAATGAATTTGAAAATAAAGCTATGATGTAATCATGGAATTTAACCATTTCATTTAAAATAGAATTAAAGTTGGAAGTTTTATTCATTGAGACTCAGTCTTTCTAACTGGTAAAAATCTACCAGTGCTTATTAGATATTTTGTAATAGAAGCTTTGCGGTTCAAAGAGAGTATTAACATTCTGTTAATGTCCTTGGGACTTTAATTAGTAAAACATTACGTTCACTAAATGTGAGAGAGTTTTAAGATTTCACAAGTAGGAAAATATTCCTGTGTTCAGGAAAATATTCCTGATTAGTAATATTAGGTTCCTGACAGGTTGCATGTGGTTTTGAATCATTTTAAGAGGTTGGTTTTTGATCAGTATTACCTTGAGTTAATCATCTGTGTATGCAATGGGATTTTAATTTATCCATTTCTATTAGAACAGTAGTTAAGGGGTTAACCTGGAATATTGGAGATATGAATTTAATTCTTTGCTTCACCATAGACACTTTATGTGACCGTGGGCATGTCACTTAATCTTTCTGAACCTTTTTCCATTTGTAAAATCAGATTGTAGTACTTTTGTAGTTGACAAGAATGTTGAGAATAAAATTTTGACACATCCAGAAATCACAAGAAATGGTGGCTATGGTGCTGTTAAATAGGGCTGTGCGGAATTTGGGCAGCTGTTTAGTTTCTGAGGTGTTTTGGCATCCAAAACTAAACAGAAGGCTCCAAAACAAAACCATCCAGAATGTTTCGGAGCCCGTCCCCGTTTCCCCCCCCCCCCCCGAAGAGTCCTGCAGCCCTCCTTTTAAGGTGCTATGGGGCTGGAAGGGGCCAGGCAGGGCAGCCATGGGGGCTTCTCCCACAGCTCCCCCCTGCCAAGGCAGAGGAAGGCAAAGCCAGAGAAGCCACAGG